GCCACCCCCCGCCCCCCCCCCACACTCCCCCTGGGGTTGCCAGAAGGAGATCTCCACCAGGCCCCTTTGAGGATCTGCGGGAGGGAGGGAGGGAGGGAGACGGCTGGCTCTGCCTTTCCCCCCTTTCCCTCCCAAAGCGTGGCCAGGAGGGGTTTTTCTTGGGCCGTTTCCGGCATAGGTGGAGTGGCGAAGGAGGCGCTCCTTCCTCCTCCTCGCCTGGATGCGACGCGCAAGCCGCCCGCCCGCCCGTATGCAAATCTGGGCCGGGGTGTGGGGAGCCGACTTGGCCGCCACTTCCTTCTAAGGGAAATTTTCGCAGGGGTTGCCTCATCCCCGGCCCTTTCCTCACAAGCTGCGGGGACTCCACCGGCAGAGGGTGGCTGCGGGGAACAGCATGCAAATTCCCTCCATCCAGCCACCCGGCGGCTGCCCCCCCCCCCACGGCCTCTCTGTCTGGTGGGAGAGAGCCAGCCGAGGAGGAGGAGGAGGAAGGCCGGAGGAAGTCAGGGTTTCGACACTTGCCTTGCGGCACTTGCCAGGGATTGTCTCCCGGCTGAGTTCGGCAGCACCGGGCCGGGGCGGGGGGGGGGTTCAGGTGTGCATGCTTTACCCTCCCCACCTTTCCACCCTCAGCTTTCAGGAAGCTTTGTTTCAGGGGGGTTTTGCGGAGGGAGAAGTTAAGCAGCTCCCACGCGCCTCCGCTGTGTAGAAAATAAGTCCTAGTTTGCCTTGGACCTGGGGAGAGTGGGGCAGAGGCCTCCGTCTGGGTGCAGAGTGGAAGCCAGGCCAGTGCAGGATCCGGCCTCGGGAGGTGAGCCAGGAGGAGGCCGTCCCCTGTTTCTCTCTGCGCTTGCAAGGCCCCATTTCAAGGAGGCCTCCTTATAAGGCGGAGGAGCTATTGGGGGGGGGGGGGGGGGAGAGAGAAAACCTCGCTGGTGCCCTGCCTGTCGGGCAACCAACAGCTCTCTTAGGAGAACCCCTAACCCTTCCCTTCCTGCCATTGGGAGGGCTGGTCCCCCCCTCCTCCTCCCCCCCTCCTCCATTAAACCTTTTAGGAAGGACAGGGAATCTGTCCTGTGTTCAGAGGGCTTGAATTGGGTCTCCATAGCAAAGGTCTTGTGAGGTTACTTGTAAAAAAAAAAAAAAGCCTAAATACAGTAACGTAATTCCCACTAGAGTAGACCCATTGGTCCAGTTGAGGAAAGATGGGTCAGTACTTTTTAAAAATTGGATGGGTTCCGGGATCGGTACACTTTAACCAAGATGGGCAGGACGACTCTTCGACTGATGCCTGGAAGGGAGTTTTAGCGACTTTGAGAGGGCACTTGGAGAACCATTTCGACAGGATTTTTGGGGATTTCACAGAATCCTAGAGCTGTAGGGTTGGCAGGGCCCCCCCGAGGGTCGTCTGCTCTAGCCCCCTTCTGCCAAAGGAGGAAACCCATGTCCGGAGCCTCCCCAACCGGTAGCCAGGCCGGGGGGGGGAGCAGTCCGCCCTGAGGCCACGGCTCGTCCCACTGACAAACAGCAGTTTGCCCATCAGGAAGCCCCCCTCGTGCTTGGGGCTTCCCACGGCTTCCCTCTTAAGAGTTTTCCTTAAAGGGGGGGGGGAATGGAAAGCTGCAAAGGAGCAAGCAAACCGAGGGGGCTGGGATGCGGGAAGTTGCTTTCTCTTGCACAGTAGTGAGACCAGGTCAGTGAACGGTGTCTCGGGGCCTGGGCAGGGCTGACTGGAGCGGATGGCCTCCCAGGGCAGCGTGAGCAAGCTGTGCTGCCCCAGCATTGGAGTGGGTGGCTGGGGGGGGGTGAGGAGCCGGCTCTCTGCAAGGGCCCCCCTGCCAGCAGCAGGGTGAGGGTGAGGGTGAGGGTGGGACACACATCCTGGCCCGTGTGTCCCCGTGGAAGCGGAGGGAGCATCTCAGGGACAGGCCAACGGATTTCACTGCCTAAGGGAACTCCAAGGGGAGCGTAGATTTGCCGGCCCCTGGTCAGATCCAGCACTGTGGGAGAGCCAGGGGGGTGGTGTTGGGGGGGTGCACGGGAGTTATTCCCACCCAGAGGAAAGAGAGGGCACCCTGCGTGTGGACAGGAGGAATCCGCTCTTCACCTTTCCCAAGGCTCAAGCCCTCCTTCGGAGTCAAACCAGTTTCTTTTGTGTAAATAGGATTGGGAAACCGGGCTCCTCCTCCTCGGATTTCACTGCCCGAGGGAACTCCAAGGGGAGCGTAGATTTGCCGGTCCCTGGTCAGATCCAGCACTGTGGGAGAGCCAGGGGGGTGGTGTTGGGGGGGTGCACGGGAGTTATTCCCACCCAGAGGAAAGAGAGGGCACCCTGCGTGTGGACAGGAGGAATCCGCTCTTCACCTTTCCCAAGGCTCAAGCCCTCCTTCGGAGTCAAACCAGTTTCTTTTGTGTAAATAGGATTGGGAAACCGGGCTCCTCCTCCTCCTCCTCCTCCGTGGGAACACCCATCACCTTGAGCCCCAGGGAGAAAGGTCTCGGTGGGGTGTGGCGGATTCCTTCCCTGTGATGCAGGCACAAACAGAGCAGCACCACCTG